GGTTATGAATTTCATCCGGGTAAGGCTAATGTGCTAAGTGCTAACAACATAAAAAGTTCATGGATCGGTAAAGAATACTCTTTTGCTACTCTCCCTCGGTGACAAGTGCAATACAAGCCTTGTTGTAGTTTGGTAATATGTGTAATGACGCTGCAACCTTTGAAGTATTCCACATATTTCATGAATATTCATGAAATATGTGCCTTGATGAAAATAAAGGTGCCTTGAGCACCTTTATTTTCCTTTGTCCTTCGGCCGATCGCGCTGTGAAGCGACGGGAGTTGCGCCAGTGCTGCTCCAGTCGGTGACACACTTCTTTTGCCGGTGCTCCACCTGAATCGCCGCCCTGCCCCGAAGCGGACGATGGGACGGACGGTCGAACCGAGAGCGCCGCTCTGCCTGCCACCTGGCGGCGGCGGAGCGCAACCGGCGGCGAGCATCCGACAACGCCGCACCGCTCACCGCGTACCGTAATTGTGGACTGTTCGACGGCGATGCGGCGAAGGCGGTCGCCGTGGTGAAAGGTGTGGGAGGTTGGAGGGCGCCCCACCCCGCCCTGCCCTAAATTGGGCGGCGAAATGTCGCAGGCACGGACTGACATCAGATGCATGGAGTTTGGGGTCACTGATGCGGCTGCTCCCGGCAATACTCTGCGATGACGATCGCTCATCTTTCCCGCGGAGGTCAACGATTTGTGAGCATAATTGGCATCAAAACGGCATAGTGCGATGCAGCATGCTGCTCTGTTTAGATTGCAGGTGGTCTATGAAATAACTGGTGGGAGAGGGGGCGGTGGCTTTGCCCGTGGGCTTGCTCTCCTAGGTACAGAGCGAACACAGGCTGTCGAAGCTGTACCTGCTAACAATGAACTGACCCGTTCGTGCTAATCCTTGGACATAACACTTCTGAAGTGATTGATCGGAAAAAACTTATTCGAAATCGTAAGCCTTTCTTTAAAATGCATCTAAGTCTGCAAATATTATATTCAAAGATAACAAAACAGGGCTTTAGGTATATTTAATGACTTGGACAAAGAACTTGTTTTATTCTGTGCAATGTATCGATGCAAGCTTTGTTTTGCTCAAACGGATAATGCCAAACCCTTTGGTGATATTCAGAATGTTGAGACCCCAACTAAGCCCTAGATCATTGAGTGTCAAAAACTAATGGCTTTGTGGATTATCCCACGCCATGGCGGGATTCTCAGCAATTTCACCATGGTGGGGGCCGTATTTGGCCGTACCTGATTATACCGAAAACTGAGTAAGCTTAGAGCCACAGCGTCGCGGAAATGCGCATTCGATAGCCCTTTTACAGACCTTTCTGAGCGATGTTGTCAGATTTGACCTCAGGGCAACGGTTTAGCCTCCAGAGGGCAAAAATTCTGAAAATAGCAGTTTTCACGAAATAGTTTTTTGTAATAACTTTTGATTCAAGCAAGCCACGACATTACTTTTGCCAGCATCGTGTTCCTCTCGTCGAGACGCGTCGCATGAACTATTCGTTGACCTTGAAAGGTCATTTTGAAAATTTGACCTCAGGTCAAGGTCATGACCTGGCCGGAAAGGGCCATATTGCATATCAGTCGATCCGTATCGTCGAGCTGAATACATCTGAGGTGTTTTCATCGCTCTAGCCTGTCTATCAGGTAGCAAAACAACTGCTGGTGACCGTTCATGACCTGGTATGACCTCAGGGGCACACGTATGTAGAGGGGTCACAGGTGCGTTTTTTTTTCGATTCAGTGTGTCATGTTTACCTATGAACCGATGTTTGAGAGGGTTTCGAACACCATTCCTCCAAAAAAGAGGCGCATTTCAATTTTCTCGCTTTGACTGATAGGTAATGGAGAGGTAGCAAACTTGACCTGACCTTAGGTCACCGATATCAAAATTCCGAGATTAACATTTTGTACATACTGTTACTCTTATCAATCGCTGAAAGTTTCAAAGCAATTGGCCACTCGGTGTAGCCATAGGCGGCGGAGCGGGGAGGGCACCGTGCCCCCCTTTGATTTTGGCATTTTAACATTAGCCCTACGGGCGTTGCATGGAAAGAATGGGACCAAAAGTCGGCAGTGCCCCCCTTAATTGAAGGTGTTCCGCCGCTACTGGGTGTAGTTATGACGACTGACGAGGATTAAAACTTTTTCTAAGGTGAGGTCACTCAAAGTGACCTGGTGACCTGACCTTGAATGACATAGGTCTGAAATTTTCACAACATGTGTGAAAAAGATGCGTGAACAGCTGTGCCAAAAATGGCGCAGCGCCGTCGTTTTTAAGATATCTGCAAAAAACCGCAGGGGATAGCCGTTTTCATGCCCGGCGCGGGGTGTTCAAACACCCCCCCCCCCCCCGGCCCGGCGCGGGTCAAGATGCTTTAGGATTTCAAAGGTCATTTTTTCGATCACGTTATTGCTGAGGCCCAGGAGGCCATCAAAAGTAAAATAATCACGAACAATTTTCCTGATTTTCACAGTGTTTCACAAATAGCCGTATAACTCTGGAACGAAAAGAGCTAAAGGGTGGCGGAAGAGCGTATTCGATAGCTCTTTCAAAGCTCTTCTGCTATCACCAGATTTGACCTCAGGTCCGCGGTCTGGATTAGAGAGGGTGAAAGCTATCAAAATTAACAGATATTGCCGAAACAATTTTCCGCATTTACTTTAACGTCAGGTATTGTATGAATTTATTTTAACTCTATCGTGCTTTTCTAGTCCAGACGCGTCGAATGAAATATAAGTTGACCTGAACAGATCATCTTAAAAATTGACCTCGGGTCAAGGTCATGACCTGACCGGAAAATGTCATGTTGCATATCGATCGGTCCGTATTGATGACCGGAACACATTTCAGATGCTTTCATTGCTCTACCCTGTCTCCATCAAAAGCTGCTGGTTAAAAACTGCTCTTGAACTGTTAAGACCTTCCATGGCCTTTTTAGTGACCGCTGGCCGTCAGCTGCATTCTGTCTTCTACATACGGGTAGAGTTTACATGCTTCTGTAAATATCCTGTGGTTTTGACGTGTTTGTTCAAAGCAGGAGGCATTTGTACTTTCCCCCATTGCCTATACCGGTGAAGCTGAGCTCACCCAAGGTCACAAATATGAAAAATCCAAGATATATCAACTTTTTCTTCTGATACCCTCATGCAATACATCGAGTTTTAAATTTATAGGAGACAATCTGTAGGAATGACAGGATAAGCTAGAAATTATTTGGAGGAATGGCCGCTTAGTGACCTGACCTTATATGATCTGGGGTTATTTTTTATACACTGCGAAATTGGTGAATAATTAACTTAACTAAGCGACGCGAAAAAAAGAAACTTCATTATGGCCTAAAACGTCCCTCCCCCTACACCTACGGGTGAAGGTCTGTTTGTCTGGGTCATTCCGTTGAACGAATGCGAATATATGGCATGAATGAAATGTGAATGTGTAAATGGCTATTAAATAACGATTTAAAATTATGAATTGCTTTTTAATCGTGGAATGGTGTTACTAAAGGTAGAAGACCCACTATGACCCGGCCTGTGCCATCGTTGGTAGAACAGCAGTAACAAAATGCAGTGAACACAGAGCTCAGTTGACTGGGTTACCCGGGAAATCTTTTGCCGGGATATAGCGGAGGCCAACATTTGGTTATCTGGGATCAGGTCATTAGTTAGGTGAGCTCAGCATTTGTTGGTTGTCACGATCGATTTCTCTACTTATGAGCTTTCTGGGGTCGTGGCTTGTGATGATTGGTGAGTAGCTAGGACGGTTGATGTGATTGACTCCCTCTGAATTTGCCCATCACTGTGATACAACCACATGGCTTATGGTATTTGTTGTGCTGTAGCACAGTGTGTTGCCTTGTGTCTGTGTCCTGTGCCTTTACCCTCAGTCCTTCGCTGAGGGGGCTGAGAGAAGTCCGATGATTCAGTTTGGTGTTCTAGTCCGGAAGTCCAACCAACTGGTTTATTCCGGTGACGTAGTCTGTTGGTTTAGTCCGCTGTTTTCAATTCCGGTGTTCGTTCAATTGTTTAGTCTACCGGCTTGGTCCGGCACAGTTATTCAATCCATTGGATCAGTCCGCCGGTTTCGTCCGTTGTTTGTCTGGTGGTTTAATCCAGTCGTTCAGTCCAGTGGCTCTGTTTGCTGTTTCAGTGTTCGGTTCAGTCCGAGCCTTTAGTCTTCCGGTCCTGTCTGTCGATTCAGTCCTCCAGTTCAGTCCACCGCTTCATTCGGTTGGCTCAGTTTACCAGTGCAGTCCGGTGGTTCAGTCCTTTGTTTGGTTACTGGCGGTTCAGTCTAGAGCTTAGTCTGCCGTTTCATTCCGATGTTTCGTTCCGCCGGTTCAGTCCCCGGTTTAATCCGGTGGTTCAGTCCACCAGTTCAGTCTGTTTCAATTCGCGGGCGTAGTCCGTTGTTTTAGTCCGCCGATTCAGTCCGTTGTTTCAGTCATCCGGCTTAGTCCGTTTGTTTCTCTGGTGGCTCAGTCCGTTCTGTTAGTCCGTCGGTTCAGTCCGCCGGTTCATTCCGTCGTTTCAGTCGGCCGGTTCAGTCTGCCGGCTCAGTCCGCCGATTCAGTCCGTTGTTTCAGTCATCCGGTTTAGTCCGTTGGTTTATTAGGTGGTTCAGTCTGTTCTGTTAGTCCGTTGTTTCAGTCTGCCGGTTCATTCTGTTGTTTCAGTCGGCCGGTTCAGTCCGTTGGTTTATCTGGTGGCTCAGTCCGTTGTTTCATTCCGTCGTTTCAGTCAGCCGGTTCAGTCTGCTGGTTCAGTCCGCCGGTTCATTCCGTCGTTTCAGTCGGCCGGTTCAGTCCGGTGTGCGGCTCGGCGATGGCCGGCCGGCGCTCGGCGGCGCCCGCCGCCGTCGGCAGGCAGCCGCACCGGCGCGCGCAACACCAATCAATATTACCATAGCGATGCCGAATCAATACGGGGCCGGCGCGGCGCGGCGCGGCCGCCGGCGGCGGCGGTGACGGCGGTGGCGGTGCCGGCCGCACCGGCGGTGGGTCGAGTCGGCCGCCGCCGCCCGAGCTGGCCACACGTGCGTGTGTGGGGTCCGCGCCGGGCTGGCCGCTCGCCCCGCCGCCACCACCGCTGTCTGTCTGTCTGTCTGTGTCGGAGACCGCAGCCACTGCAGGTCAGTCGGCCGGCAGCTGTGGGGTCCACCTCCCCTCCCTCGGCCGCTCCCGCTACAGCCGGGGTCGTGACGGTTTGGACAGAACACACGCACCGCCCGCCCACACGTGACTGACAAAAGATGACCGGTATGAGCCCCAGAGGAAAAATTATCTCAGTCATTCTTACGGTTTCTTAAAAATTGGACTGATGACGCATCACCTGACTCCCTCCAAATCATTACATTCGTTTTTGCCACCTGACCTATCTGATCTTTTTAGTTCGACATGCACACAGGTGTCTCTTTCCATGGGTGGCTACAGATATGCTATAGCAAAGGCTATATTCGATGGTTACTGCAATCGCCCAGCAGTTTCCGTTTCCACTCCAACAGACTTGGTTCCCTTGTGGCATGCCTGAAAACCAGTGTGCTTTGACGTGACTTTGTTTTAGCATAGCCACTGCATGGTGCTTATTTAATGTGCTTGTAGTCGTGTAGCATCGGCTTCGTATTAAAGGTAGTGTGCCACCTTTGAAAGATTTCCCATTTTATTTTTCCTAGGATAAGAAGCTTCTGTTTTTACCTAATATCGCAAAAAAAAAATCAAAAATGGGCCTGGAATAGTGCCTTTTTCGCCTAAAAGTTTTTCGGTTTTTAGATATGTATAACAACTGTAGTGGGCTCACCTGCAAACAGGCGTCGGGCAACAATCGCGAATGCGGCGCACTTGTGACAATAAGCAAAGGTCATTATAGTGTTACGACCATACGACGTACGGGAATGAGTTATCAGCTGTCTAATCGTAGACAACACAATGTCGAGCCTTAAACTGTAAGCCCGTATTGGTATTGTTTCTTTTATTTGGCTGTCGAACATTATTTATGGTTTGAAATATGATTTTATGTAAAATAATTGATATGAAAAAGCCGTCTTATAAGTTATGACCCCATTTCACCACACGCAAGTGGCAGAAATGACAATGATCAGCTGACGCATTTTTCTTGGCCGAAGTCAGAGCGCGCGGCCCGACGCACCACGCGTATTTGGAAATTCCGACCTCGACGAGCATCAGAAGCCAACTAACAGGCGTGTTCGAAACCGCAGGAGCTGATGATGAACGGGTTTATCGAAACTTGATTGGATGAGCATATCGGTAATAGCGATTTCAGTGTGTGCATTTATTGTTCATAGTGGTGTGAAATGTGGTTGGGGTACGACCGACAACCCGTCGGGGCGAATTTCGCACTGGGGTACTCAAAATTTGAAGAATTTAAGACGTTTCCATGAGTTTTGAAGGTATGGATAAGTTCTAAAAATCCGGTTCTCCTTATCTGGGCCATTAACTCCATACGGTCCAAGAAAGCTGGCACACTACCTTTAAGTGACATTGAATTACCGATGGTCGAGCCTTTGCTTTGATTAGCCGTTTGTCTAGATGCTTCACTTCAACTTAGCATGCTTTTACATGGTTGATTCTCATTTCTTTTGTCTTCGGTGTGTTCTTTTGTTTCCTTTAGGGTTCTGTGTTTTATTATGGTGTGGGAGGAAGGGCAGGGGGACGCTTGATGCACGCTTTTGTCGCTGTTTACATTTTACTGTCACTTGATGTCCGCTTTGTCAGGTCATTAGCTATGTTGCGGTATGTGATATTGGTGTTATACAATACTGTCGCCAATTGTTAGCTACGCATAGAGGCCCGCTCAAATTATCAGTAATGCTATTTTCGCTTTGTTCTTTTTTTTTGCATGAGTCTGATTCCGTGACAACAATAAGATGGATGCATTGTTGCACGATTCTGAATTGTTCCTATATTACGTTTCCATTGTTATTGAGTGTTACCTGATTATGAATTATACTGTGCTTGTTTGATGATCATTGGTCACAAATGGCTGTACGTTTCTTGTGTCAATTTTCACTTGTTTCTGAATGATCAATGGTACGATGTCTGCTCGGATGTAGGTAATTGTTATTGATGGCATAAATTATATGTGACATAATTCTTACTGCATGTATGTATACTGCTTCTGTTGCTGGATATGAGACCGCGTCCATCATACTCTGGTCTTTCTTGGCAGCTGTTTTTCACGCTCGTATGATACATTCGTTGATATTGATATAAAATACAGCTTATGCCCCATAGCACTCAACTACTGATGAAAGCTAAGTGTTGGACATTGGTCTCGTAAAACAATGTACACTATTTATTCACTATTGATCTCAATATTGTTTTTTTTTTCTCACGACCCATCTACCATTACATATTCTTGTTTTCTTTCTTGATTACCGCCTGATTAGCATGACACATCGCACTATTCATTCTTCAATGGCAGGGTCCAGAGAACGCCCACTTGTTCTGCGTGCTGTGGCACCTCCCTGACACAACATGCTCCACCGTACCAAAGCCCTCTCCAGTCTCCTCCCTCTGTGACCGGGACCAAGCTCGGGTCACGTCTGCTGCCCGAGGCACGTGCCGTCTGGTCGGGTACCCCCGCGATCTGCCCGCTCAGCTGTTCCTCTGCCCTCTGCGGCGCTCTGCTCACTGCCGCGCTCTGTGGGTCACAGCTGTTGTGACTCGCTGCACACTCACAGCTGGGTTAGATGTGCAAACTGTGCACAGCACACCGCGTGCAGTTGGCCCGTGCACGGTGAGTGTGCACCTCACCTATACCGCTGCAGCTCAGTATCTCGCCCCGCCCGCCCTCGCACCCGCCCCGCCCGACCGCTCCGCCCCGGATCACACGTGCCGGCACTGGGTCGTACCGCGGTCACCGGAACCGAGCGGCCCACACGCGTGTGTCGTGTGCCGCCTCCGTGCGACCGGATGTAATCAACCCAATCCTTTGTCTCTGCAGCACGGCTGACTGGAAGTGGCACCAAAAGAAGTGACCGTTTCGTACCCGGAGCTGGGGTTCTTGTGTTTATTAGGCCGCTGCTGCCTCGATGACCTTGTTTTAGTTTTATGTTGTCTGAGGATCACACAGCACCTTTCTGGGTCACGACGCGAGTCGTTTAACCCCTGCCTTCCGTTCCCATCGTGTCTGGTGGCAATTCGATCAGTCGCTGAACGTGCATTGTTTGCTGTGGAAAACATTTCGCGCACGGCCTCGTATCGATGGGGCTAGTCTGGGGCACGGGGCAATCGACCTAACAAGTTCTCAGCCGAGTTATGTGACTCGGACTGGGTTTATGTTAACTAAAACCTCTTTCAACGTCATACAATTGCTTAAAATTTGCGTCAGAACGTCTAGCGATTTCCCTTTGCCTTCTCACTAACTTATTAACCCATCATTTGGTAATAAACGTAGTTGAACTCACCAGTGCCCTTGCTTCTTTCTCCCGCATACATTTGCTGCTCACTCCGGAGTGTTCTGGGTCAGACAGCCGTGGACCGTGAAACTACCGCCCTTCTTCCCGCGCCGATCGCCGTCCGAGCTTTTCCAATGCATTGATATGCAGTGGCCGAGCATCATCCAGCGGCAAGTTTCCAGTAGCGAGCCTCGGTCGGCATATTCTGTCCGCGAAGCCGACCCAAGTTCCCCGCCACCCGGAAGCCCCAGACGGAGTGCTAGGATTGAACCCTGTTGCAGTCCGCAACCACCCAGTCTTCCCTGTGGGCCGCTGAGGTTCAAGTTCACTGAACTTTGGGTTATTCGGAGCTACCCAGAGGCAGTGAGATTTCGTGGTTGCAGAGAGCTGTATTTTTAACAAATTATTACTTTGACAAATAATTGATTTTGAGCTAACGGAAAATATGGTACGTAAAATATGATAGTTTCTTTAGTTAATTTGAAAACAAACAAGCTTTAGATAACGTTAGTAGCTCGCACGCTAGGGGCTCTGTGTACCGCCCACCGCCGATGTTGGTTCGTTTTTTATACTTATGCCAAGGGTCATGTGTTTTCTTGCCAAATCGCAAGCATGTCAAGCCTCAAGGAGACGTGATGATCACGTAAACAGGCCTAACGCACATATAGACATATCATAGACACATATAGACGTGTAGACACAGACGGCACCACGACACGGGTTACGTGCACCGTTAGGTGCTGCTCCTATACAGCTGGGACATCCCCTCATATTACAGGGACCGAACTGCCGCATCGGCTTACGCACGCATTTGCATGCGATCATGCCGAACTGCGACCTAAGCCAGCGTCCCGTGCTCGGACGGTTATTAGTGGATGGCGACTATTTCATTTCCGTCGCCAGTCCACCGTTCGCCGATTATCGTCTAACAACCCCTGTCTACCGACGTCCACTGCCACCTACACATTATTTTCATACTGTCTATATCGCACACATTTCACTTCTTGCCATTTAGGTGTAGCGTCCAATTCATAGTCTGACCTCTGGTCCTCTCTCTCTTTTCAGACGCCACCGCGGACAGACAGTGTCAGTGCGTGGTGCAGCCGAGTGACGACCTCCGCCACCCTCGTCACTCAGAGGTGAGTATATAAAACAAGTACATCCCCGACTATCGTGCCCCAACTCCACACATTGTCCCGGGTGTGAGTGAAGAGCGATTCACTCCCGCTGGAGGGACACTATCGGTCTCCACTTCCGGTGTCGGTGATACCGGCTCGGTTCCCCGCAGAGCTGGGACTCCCCGTGCCAGGGACAGCGGAAATGCTGGGATTCACTTGGGTTGCTGGGTCATGTTAGCCGTCGTATATTGACACCAATGGTGATGACCAATGGCTATGTTTCATCGAGACGATATAAAGCGTTCTTATCGGGATGCATTCGTCTTTTTTACACTTCAAATGTTTGCCTATTTGTGATTGACGCTAGAGAAACATTTACTAGCTTTTACCTATCACTTTGTGTGCAATGGGCGGGGAGCGTATGATCCCTATCACCGGACGCATTGTATTAGGGTATACTTCCCTTTGAATAAGTGTGAGGTCATGTTCAACCCGGTCTGAGGTGGTACTTTGATCGTAACGTATTACAAGTTAAACGTAGTATGGTAATGTAATAACAGGAAATATAAGTTACTCATGCATTTCCATTACGACCCCACAATTCACCGGCACTATTTACATCCATTTGTTTCTTCATTGGCAGCATGCACCAATGCACAATAAGGTGCACTACAATGCAAAACGCTTTCTTAGTTTCAAGGTGCATGTTTTCTATGTTCGAACTGCAGGCGAATGTGTCAGATCAGGAAATGGAACACATCTGATGGTATCATGTCTGATTCGCCATTCAGTCTATATTTAGTCGAGGTTTACGGCGTTTTTCCTGTAATGCCGGCACGGTGGGAGTCTGGTCATTTGACATCACGGTTCAATTTATTCTGGATATAACCTTGTAGTCTAAATCAAGGTCTGCGATGTTTAGCGCTGGGCGCGTTCAAATGGACAGACAGTTGCGACGTATAGAGCTAATTAGACCCAACGTTAGGGACTGTTAGCGCTCCTCCTTATTGACTGACCTGACAAGGAGCCTCCCTCCCCTACTGACTGCTTATACCCTGCGGGTCTTAGCTCAGACTGATACTGACGGTGATTCCCCTTCCCAAGAACTTACACCATACTGTGGGCGTTCCTCTCCAATACCTCCCCTGTCAGTGAGCGCCCCTCCCCAGTAGACCAGGCGGGTCTGCGGCCGCCCGCGTGACCCGTCTCGGGCCGGGACAGGGGCGCAGTTGGCAGCCGCCCGTCTTGGCGCCCGCCCCGGGACTGCTCTGTATACAAAGCCACCGTCGCCGTGCGTATTTTGTCATGCTCCACCGACTGAAACCGGCGCCGCCAGCTGCTAGCTTTTCCCTGAGACAGGAAACGAACGGCTATTTTCATCGCTCTCGGCGGGGCTGCCGTCGTCGCGACGGTCGGGGCGGGTCACTGTCAGGTCGGTGACAGGTCATTGACAGGTCGTGGGAGGGTCATTGGCAGGTCGTGGTGGTTCGGTGGCTGGTTTGTGGGTAGTCGTTGCTCCTTGGGTAGCCTGTGTGTCGGTAGCTCCGTGTTTTATCAGCGTTTCAAAATGCAATTATGGATGGACTTTTCCCGGTGAAGTGTGAATGGTGGCGTGTTATATCTTAAAGTCAGCGCACCTCATCGCAAATAAGTCATACAGATATCCGTTAGCTCATTACGGGCTGTCTACTGACTACTGTACGATAGCATAAACCGTGGCGTTAACCAGTTGATTGGAGGTGTAAGTGGTACAAATTAGTGAGAGGTAGGTGATGAATGACCCGTAAACAAACTAACGAGGATGGAAATGCGGCGATAAATAGCAGAAATAATGAGCGTTACCCGATGTAGCTATGAAAAAGGCGGATTGTTGCCCAACCACTCCTACCCACCACCGTATACCTATGAGAGGGAAGGAGGCAGGGGGAAGAATACCTCTCCCCAGCCGTGCAGGGTTGACAGGGAGCTCCTGCGGTCACAAGCGGTGTCCTGTTTCCCAACGAACACAGGTCGTGACCGGATCTGACCGTCACGGGATCACGGATACGGATCACGGATCTCTCGTCACGGAGACGGATCACGGGGTCACGGATACGGATCACGAATCATGTATACTGGGTAGTGGGTACATGTCACGGTTACGGACTACAGATCCTTGGCATACGAGGACGGATTATGGATCAGGGGGTCTTTGAGACAATCATGTGGCCAGGAAGACAGGCCTCGGATTGTTGGTGTCGAATTACGATCATATATTGAGGGTTGACCAGTTTTATGCTAATTAAATAAATGGTTCCTGATAAGCTGACGAGTGCTGGCATGTTTGTACTCTTATTATGCTCGCTATAGGTATTACAGCCCCCACCCTCCCACCCGATCTACGGTACCCGCTTTGAAAGGCGCCATGGTTCACGATACGGCACGGCTGTTCTCATTGTTCACCTGTGGGGCTTCCTGGCAGTCGGGCTCGGGCACTGCGAGCAAAAACTGTCCGTCGCGCACGCTCGACACTGGGATGAAAACTGGGCCGCTCGCTCACTCCCAACTATTGACCCACTTATCGGTCCTCTGTGGGTAAATAGGTAACAGCGCACTTATCCAGCGTTTTGTCGCGACCTATTTGTTTTTGTACTGAGTCCGAACACGGTGTACCTACTGAAAGTAAATGAATGGTTCCTTGTAGCAAGATGATCACGATCTCAGATAAACATTCCCTTCTAGATTTGGAATAAGCATTGGGTGTGACATAATGTGGTAATGTAATGATTAATCACGAAACCAACTTCAAGGGAATGCAAAGGGAAGGTCCGCTTATACGAGCGCACCATGGAGTTAGTCAGTTCACTGCGGAGTACCACCGTTCGCGCCATGGCGGATAACCGGTCAACACGACATATGCAGCTCGGTAAACAACTCCGACCTTGCAGCGTCATTTGTGCAACCATGGCGGGTCGGCCCCCGGTTCTCCGCTCAACACGGGGACCTGAGACGTGCCTAGAGTACCTCAAAGCACAGCATTCTCTTCTGGGACATCCCCGCCACCCTACGGCGTAGCAGCAATAGCCATTGCTTTACTATTTCCTCTTTTCTTTATATCGTCTTTACTTCTTTGTCTTCAGCGGACAGTTCCATGACAGTTTGTCGACCGTACTATTCACGAACCGTGTATGATCTACCGTCTCCAATCACTGTTGCACTTACCGTGCTTGTTTCCGGGCTTTGTGGCCGGGGGCAACGACCCCTTTGCACCCAGCATCTGTGCATTGTATGCCGCTTTAACCTGCCATACCTCGGTACTCGCTCTCCCATGCAATCCAAATTCCAGACATTCCGGTTCTGAGCATGAGTCCTGCTCGTGCTGCCCATATTTTGTAGTTCTACCTATTCCAGTGGAGCTCTGCCCGATCCGGTTGGTCCGGGGCCGGTCTGAATTCCGGTTGTTTATCGAGACAGGCCAAGGTTTACATTGCTCATCTTGGCCGGTCCTCACGGCGCTATATTCAGTGCGGCGAGTCCCTGCCCTCTCTCCCCGGGTCCGGATTCCGGGTATCTGTCCGGCTCCCCGCGCCCCTGACGCCGGTGCAGTGGCTCCGGGCTGGTTCCGGCAGCGGGGGGTGGGGGGGGGGGGCGTGTTTTCCTGCTCGGAGCTGCCCCCACAGGTCTGACCGGCCACTCCCTGCCGCTGCATGGTGTCGCTACCGCCGCCGCCGCGGCCGCTGCCGAACTGTCTCTGTCCTGACTCCTGAGTCACAGCGGACCTCGGCGGGCGCGGAAACTAACGGGACACACGCCGCTGCCGGCTACCCGCTGGGAGTGGAGCGTCCCGCGCCGCTGGCTACTCAGAGTGCTCATCCCTGGGAGGCCGCGGTTGGTAATAAGTCGCGCTCATCCTGCAGGGATGCACTGAGCGACGCTTAGCACACCCCACGCCGTCCCCCTAGACCGAGCTCCGTCCGGCGGGCGGGCTGCCGCCGGCCGTGCGCAGCTCTCTGATGTGACCTTGTGACAGACGTCTCGATGCAGCCTGCACCGTGTGACGTCACAGCTCGGGCTGCCGTGGTGCTGGTCCGAGGCGACGACGGCGCTCCGGCCGACTGGCCGCCTATTTCGGCACCGGGGCCGGCCGCGCTGACCTACCCTCGCCGGTACGGGCCGCGGCTCCGTGGCGCCGCCTGGCGGGAGGAGACGTCAGGTCCGCGGCGGAGAAGCCACCCCACCGACATGAGACTTGAGAGGGGATGACAAGCGGGAGGGTATTCATGGTGTTCGAGTTATTGGATGTTGACCGAGTTTGACGTCGATTGCTTCTCTGAAGGTCAGGGATCGCCTTGACTGACGCTCATGATCCGACTACCGTCTTGAGGCAGGCCTGAGATCGTGTCCTGTGCGGTCAGCTGGTGTCTGCGGCCACTATCTGTCCCTGGAGCGCCGTCTCGTCAAACCGCCACCGCCGCGAACCCTGCCCGCGCTGACGACTATTTACGAGGTCATTTATTAGGCTATATCTCGTAGTACGAGGCTGGCCAGCCGGCCGGCCGTGCCGGCGACCTTATGGCCCATGCTGACAGCAGCAGAGATTCTCGTGTGGTGGTCGTAGTAAGCTGCGTAAGCAGGGGGTGACCTCGCTCTACAGTTGAATGACCGTGGTTCCCGAACATCAATAGGGCGAATACGAAGTGAAAAAGTTTTTGATGAGACTCATTGAAGAGTCGGGAATGGGATTAGCAGTCAAGTTTGATGCCCTGAACGTCATCTTTTCACGTTACACCCGAGGCATTGAAGGGTCGAAGGCTATGTATTAGCACAACCCGTATGCCATTACCAATATGCGTGTCATCTGACAGCTTGTACTGGTTTTGCAACCGAATTCTACCTAGCCGAGAGGGAGAGCGCCGTCCAGTGCTGCCCCAGCCCCGTGCCGTCCACTCCTGGTCATTTCGGCCAGCCGAGAGAAAGGCTGCCTGTCGTTCGTGCGGCCGACGGCGGACGCATAACGGGCCGCCCGGCGCGTTGCGTAGTGC